ATGATAAGTACCTCTGGGTGTGTGTGTGTGTGTGTGGTGGGGGAAAATCAGACTTTTTAAAGCATCTCAATTTGAGCACCCAAAAGGAGGCATGTAAAAATCACTGGTCACTTTGGAAAGTATTGACTACTGTATCCGTCTTAAGGAATTAAACTATTACATTTGTGGACATAATATAATTTTATTAATTTTTTTGGTCATGAATCTGTATATTGACACATTCATGTCAGTTTCAATTTTTTACTTGATTTCTGATGCATGTACACCCAAGTATGTACCACCTGACTGTGATACATGTCCTTAGTGCGGGCAGATACTTTCACGTTTACAACTATCCATTTATGGAGAAGCAGCTCATTTTCTGATTTATCTGTCTTCTTTGAACAAAAGGAGAGGAACGAACAGGAACATGCCCAAGAATGAATAAGGCGTGCTCTACTGATGAAATGAAGAGCAAGGCCCCAGTCCTGCATATGGATCCGTGCGGATGGAACCCTACAATTTATGTCGAGTCCATTTAAGTCTATTAGTGATACTACAGCAGTGTCTAGGGTTCCCAAACAAGTTTGGAGCCCTACAGTATTAGGCTCTGTACAAAATTATAGTAAAACACAGCCTCTGTCCAGAAGAGCTTATAAATCTAATACAGAGGGGAAACAGAACCAAGTGACTTGTACAACATCATGCAGCAGGTCACTGTCAGAGCTAGGACTGATATGAAGGTCTCCTCAGTCCCAGCTCAGTACTTTATCTACTAGATCATGTTGCTTCAGTCAGCTGAGCACTGTATACATGCAAAGGTCCACAAACATGGATCCAACTGTGTGAATGACACCCAAGTACGTGAATGCTGTTGCACTTAAGAACACAAGCATTTTCAAAAAAATATGTTCATCATATTTCAGGACAAACTTTTGAGACAAATATTGAACTTTCCTTTGGGAATTTTCTTCTTCTGAATAGAATTATACTAAGATTTTAGCCAACATGTGATTGTCTTCAAGAAAAAAGGCATACAAGATGGTTACTAACTTGTACTGTAACTGTTGTTCTTTGAGATGTTGGTACAGACGTGCACCCAGTACACCAAGTCAGAGAACTTTGCCTAGAAGTACCCGTAGAGGCGGCGCACACATCCTCTAGCTCCTTAGTCCCTCCCCAGACTATTTAAGGGCAGTGCTGCCCCAACCGCCCTCTCAGTCCCTTCACACCAAACATCAAGAATTGAGACTTCTATGTAGAGGGGCCAGAGGGTGTGTCATAGAATACACGTCTGCACCCACATCTCAAAGAACAGTAACAGTATATGTAAAATAACTGTCCTTTCTTCTTTGAGTGGGTGAAGACATGTATTTCACTTAGGTGACTGACGAGCAGTATCAGGACATGTGGCTCACAGTCTATTCTGAGAGCAACTGCAAAACTGCCTTTCCAAAATTTGCGTAACATCATGATGCTTTTTAAAGTTATGGATGGAAGACCAAATAGCAGCCCTGCAAATGCCAGTATTAAAATATCACGGAGAAATGCAACTGTCACTTGGGACCTCGTTGAAGTAGTCATGGCCACATGAAACACTGTCTTTTGGCATAGAAAAGACAAAGAACAAGTTGCCTGGGGCTCAAATGGAAAACCCATGAGGGCAGCCAACATAGTGCTAAGGTCCCATTGATGAATCACTTCCTTTACCAATGGAAAGACACAAGTGACCTCTTTCATGAATCTGGCTACAATGGCATTTGAAAAAACGGCTTTCCCTTGGACCAGAGAATGAAATGCTGAAATTGCTGCTAAGAGGACCCTCAACGAACTGATAGACAGGCCAGAGGACTGAAGGTATAATAGGAACTCCAAAACGTCCTGAATACAGGCTTGCCTCAATTGAACTCCCTGGGGCCAAGAACTAAGTTGAAATACATTTCCACTTAGCCAAATATGTAAGTGAACTTTCTACTAGTAAAGGACTATCTACTACTAAGCTGAACCTGTTGAACAGCTGTGGAACAGTGCTCCTCCTGATCTAACCATGCGGCATCCATGTAGTGAGGTGCTAACTGATTGGAGCTGGATATCAACAATAAAATCCCAGAAAGACTGAGATAAAGAAGCTTGAAGTAAACTATCACACCGATTGCTCCAACTCTAGCCATGCATGGCGAGAAGGAACTGATGGGGGTTAGGGTGGTGCCGCCTTTAAATAGCCTGAGAAGGAACTAAGGGGCCAGAGGACACAAGTACAGCACCTACAGTTACCTCTAGGAAAAATTCTCTGACTTTGGTGCACTGGGTACGCGCACACCTGAGTGGAATACATGTCTGCCACTTGCAGAACAGAGGATTCTCACTTAAACCTAAGTGAAATACAAGGAACGTATCCCAGCATTCCAAATATGTTAGTTTAAAAAAATGTGTTTAATTTAATGTGTGTCAAAAACCATATGTGTAATAGCACAATAGTATTTTGAAAAATGCAGTTAGCATTTTAATTGGCTTAATCTTGATTCAATTCCAGCATCTAATAAGGTTTAACTGCTCCTGATGGACTGTATTTTGACAGATTATTGCTAAAAATTGCTTCAGTTACAGCTCAAATAAGGTTTCAGAGTAGCAGCCGTGTTAGTCTGTATCCGCAAAAAGAACAGGAGTACTTGTGGCACCTTAGAGACTAACAAATTCATTAGAGCATAAGCTTTCGTGGACTACAGCCCACTTTTTCGGATGCATATAGAATATATATGCATCCGAAGAAGTGGGCTGTAGTCCACGAAAGTTTATGCTCTAATAAATTTGTTAGTCTCTAAGGTGCCACAAGTACTCCTGTTCTTTTAGCTCAAATAAGGACATCATCACACACAACTAAATAGTTTACCTTGTCTGGTACTGGATTTTATCCATTCTAAAAGTTCTTCCTGTGGCAAATTGCTAAATTCTCCCATGATGTTCCACTGTTTCTGAAGGTTTGCTGATCCCTCTATTGCCATTATTGCTAAAATAGCAAAGACCAATGTTTTGGGCTGAATTTTGCCAAAGAGCCATCCAAACAACTGAAATATAAAAGCCAGTTAATTCCAGATACCTACAGTATTACACAATATTCATGGCTTATGATTTTAATTTCTCCAGTAGAAACCTGTTAGTCACACACATTACAATCAATCAAAAGTTGTTCTTTTAGGGCCCAGTCCTGCTTCTATTAACATCAATGGAAATTCTGCCATTAACTTCAGTGAGAGTAGGATTAAGACTTTAAATATTCACTTAAGTTGACTCCATTGTAGTAAGTTGCTCCTACTTTTCTTATACTATAAAATAAGACAATATGCATTAATGCAACCTTAAATTTGCAATGAAAATAAAGTCAGGGAATGCAGCAGTTAAGATTCATTCAGCAATGTCAACTTCTAAATCTCACATATATAGTATTTTATACTCTTGTCAAATGGACAGTTCAGTATATTTCTGGTCATGTTAAATGTATTTCATAAAAAGATACAGGATAAGTCAACTTTTTTTAAGAACCTACAAGCAAATCAGAAAGGCAAAAGTTAACGGTAGAACTTTACTGTTGCATCACATCTACTCTTTCCCTCTCCTACACTGAAAGAGATAGGCTTTGTTTGAATAATAGTGCAAGTGGTTTGAAGCAGACTTTGAAGTGTGCACGTCAGTAAAATGAGTACTGTGGAGAGAAATTGTAATTTTGTTTTTACTGCTCTACTGTTTGGCTTGATCAAGGACAACCTATCCCAGCCACACTTGACCTAACCCGCCACGTACCCACAAAACATATCCCTTAACTTTTATTGGCAATTTGTGAACTTAAAAAAGCAAGGGTTTACACTTTATGCTTATGACACCTGGTTACACACAGTTTAACTGCTTGGCACTAGCTAAATGCATTCCCGTTAATCAGAATTTATGTAACTACTGTACTATTAAAGCAGCAGGAATTACCAATCACTGTTAGGCTAAATTATTTAATTTCCAATTAAGACCTCCCAATAAGCCAGCAATATCAATTAAACATGTGCCATATGAGATAACAGTATTTTAATTTTTATTTAATACAGTGCCTCTGGCAGCAGAGAGGGAACATGGCCAAAGCACCATCCTTCTGCAGGATACAACATACACTCCACTGTTTCTTCCAGAAGAGCCAGACACTAGTCTGGAGCATTCATTGTACACAGTGTACCTAGCCCCAGCGTGGTTGCAGCACAGGGGTAGGAGGGCCATCAACGCTTCTTGTTTCTTCTCTCCTCCTGAGTGCTTCTCTACAAATCTGGGCATTAATCAGACCACTAGTTTACATAACCCAAAGGGAGCAACCTGCAGTCTGATGAATGGATGTAGCATAAGGAGCTTGTTATATGGGCTTGGGATGATTGTTTTAATATTAAAAACTTCTATTTGGAAGGATGAAAAAAAACTTTATAACCACATTTAGATGGTCATAACTTATGTCACTTTCTTAGGGCTCTGAGGGGCCCATGGTTACAACAGAGAACAAAAGTAAGTAGCCCAATTTGTAGAAGCCAGAATACCACAAAACCATTTTATGGACATTTATAATCCTACTAGTCTCTAAAAATTAAAATGTCATTTTATATAAATATAATATGATGCTGACCCATTAATTTGACTGCTGATCTGTTTTAGCAGTTGGCAGCTTTTTGGCAGATATACTAACAGCTACATGGCAATCTCAGTTTAAGTGAGAATGTGTTAGAACATTTAAACTCCTTAGTTAGTTTGCTGCTTTTCAGGTGAAGAAAAACCACAGTCCCATGACGGTTCTATAAAAACTTGATAAAATTAACAGTATTTTGTACATATGCCCAACACAAAGTGATTGAACATGCATAAAATGCAACAAAAGCATCTCCTTTTATATGAGGTTGTGACTAGATTAGGATGATTCTCATGTGGTACATGGTTCACAAATATGCTCCGCCAAATAAATCTTTAAATGTTTGCAAGGAACATTTTCTTAATTTTCAAGTCCATCAGAATGATTTCTGCTAATTTTTAAAGTTCCATTTAGGATGGAGTAATTCCTCCTAATTTAGAGAGCAAACACACACAAACAACATCAGCTTTATCATCAATGTGTTCCGCCCTGCAAGATGCTGCACTGAGCAAACTGGGATGTTTGATAATCAAGGGTATAATCATCCATGTGATGGCCTGAAAGAAAAACAACCAGCTGCAGAACTAATCCCATTCCACAGATGCCCAGTCTCAGGCTGTGTATTCTCGGACAAAAAAAAGGTGGTTTTACTGCAAGGAAAACTTGTGTGTGTTAGCTAACATGCTGTAAAACTCTTAGTGGTGACAAGGATTGTAGTTTTACCAGGAGGCAACCTAGATGAGGCCAACCATGGATGGGGTTATAGTGCTGACCTCGCCTAGCTATTTCACAGCAAAAACAACAACTGCCTTGTTTCTGCTTAGGAGTTTACAACAAGATAACTATCGTGCATTAGTTATCTCACTGTAAAAAAAACCCCCACCTTTGAGGTTTTATCTTCACTGACAATCTCCCTCCTACTATCTTATCTTGGGGACTAGATTAAATGGTCCAGATCCCTTGCTGTTCTGATTTACGTTCCTAAATCTTTGTAAGCTGTTTTCACCCTTACTACTTGCATAATTGCTTAATCCTGACATCCATCCCACAGATATCAAATCCTCCCAGAACCTTATTCTAGACAAGTCTGGACAATCAAGGCTGGGTCTACACTACCCGCCTGAATTGGCGGGTAGAAATCGACCTCTTGGGGATCGATTTATCGCGTCCCGTTGGGATGCGGCAATCGATCCCCGAATCGACGCTCTTACTCCACCAGCGGAGGTGGGAGTAAGCGCCGTCGACGGGAAGCCGCAGAGGTCGATTTTGCCGCCGTCCCTACAGCGGGGTAAGTCGGCTGCGATACGTTGAATTCAGCTACGCTATTCGCGTAGCTGAATTTGCGTATCTTAAATCGACCCCTCCCCCCCGTAGTGTAGATGTAGCCCAAGTCCTGACTTCCCTCTAGTCCTAGTCAGCTCAAAAAGCAGTTATTCCTTCCGGTCCTTTTTATACATATACAGCCCGATTCTTGAGTCTGTCTGAGCTATTCTTGGCTGAGAACCCAATGGGGCCGGCTGAACGCCACTTTTACACTTCCTTGGTCCTGGAGGTAGTGTGAGGTCTTCTCATCCCCTTTGTGTAAGCTAGGGCAACCTCGTGTCTGCTCTCATCTATGCTGGATGCAAGAGCTCCTAGGGCCATTCCGGTCAGTGTAAGGCCGGTTAGCCATAATCTTTTCTGTCAACACCAGATTTAATGCCATCTGTGGAGTCCCCTACATGTATCAGATGTGCAACCCCCTTTGTGCCACAGGAACAGCGCAAAGAAGCCAGGCCAGGAACAGAGAATCTGGCCCACATATTCCAGGTGCCACCCACCTTCAAATTAGGTAATGTTCTAAGGGTTAAATTATCAAAGATTTTTTCCTCCTCTTGATACATGAGAAAAATGCTCTAGGAAGAAGCTAGACTCCATGTGTCAGACGTAAGTACTAAGCCCCAGTACCCTATCCTGACTGTGTAAATACAATGACTGGAATATGCAAGTACCTTGGACCTTTTAATTAATGAAAGGTTTTATACTTAGTCTGCAAAAGTTAACATTTTATGCATACTAACTATAAAAATGGAAGGTTTGCCATAATGCTTTCCCCCCACATGTTGCAACACTGGTTTCAAATTAAATTGATGAGTGGATAAAATTTTGATTATTTCAACTGCTCACTTATCCAGAACATTAGAGAGAGTAGTATTTGGACCTCAAATTGATATGCAAATAGCTAAATTATTCAATTAGTCAATCTGAAAACAACCAGAGAAGCAATATATGCAATCTGATGGGGTCAGATCAGGATCATAGTTCTTACGCTCAAAACTGGATAATGCAATGAGCAATGTATAGTTAAAGCAAAAAACAGTTACCCAGCTTTGTAACTGTTGTTCTTCGAGATGTGTTGCTCATATCCATTCCAATTAGGTGTGTGCGTGCCGCATGCACAATCGTCGGAGAATTTTTACCCTAGCAACACCTGGTGGGTCGGCTGTGGAGCCCCCTGGAGTGGCGCCTTCATGGCGCTGGATATATACTCCAGCCGACCCAGTGCCCCCTCCGTTCCTTCTTGCCAGCTACTCCGACAGTGGGGAAGGAGGGCGGATTTGGAATGGATATGAGCAACACATCTCGAAGAACCACAGTTACAAAGGCGAGTAACCGTTTTTCCTTCTTCGAGTGCTTGCTCATATCGCTTCCAATTAGGTGACTCCCAAGCCTTACCTAGGCGGTGGGGTCGGAGTGAGACATCGCTGAGTGCAGAACCGCTGAGCCAAATGCAGCATCATCTCTAGACTGCTGTACTAACGCGTAGTGAGCGGCAAAGGTATGAATGGATAACCAAGCCGCCGCTCTACAGATCTCATGGATTGCAACCTAGGCCAAGAAAGCGGTTGAGGAAGCTTGAGCCCTCGTGGAGTGGGCGGTGAGGCGTGGCGTCGCGACACCGGCCAAGTCATAGCAAGCACGAATACAGGACGTGAGCCAAGAGGAGATACGTTGTGAGGAGACTGGTAAGCCTTTCATCCGGTCAGCCACTGCAATGAAGAGTTGAGTCGTCTTCCTAAACGGCTTCGTACGCTCGATATAGAATGCGAGGGCCCTGCGCACATCCAGAGATTGCATACGTTGATTTTGCCATGTAGCGTGCGGCTTAGGGTGGAAGACCGGGAGGAAGATATCCTGGTTCACATGAAAAGCTGATACCACCTTGGGGAGAAAGGCAGGGTGGGGGCGAAGCTGCACCTTGTCTTTATGGAAGACTGTATATGGAGGTTCCGACATGAGGGCTCTGATTTCAGAAACATGCCTTGCTGAAGTAATGGCTACAAGGAAGGCTATCTTCCAAGATAGGTAAAGGAGTTAGCAGGTAGCCATTGGCTCCCCCGTGAGCCTGGAGAGGACCAGGTTAAGGTCCCACGC